AAATAACACACATAGTGCAATGCACATGTGAACGCACACACAAAACACAACTACACAATACAGTTGTAAACATGTTCCTTTACATACTCATTGTGCTTCAAAGAGACAACAGGTTTTGAAATAATTTCTGAGGATGGGAAGAGCAGGAGAGGAGAGGGCACCAATCACTCAAGATTTCAGACATCAGACTCAGTCTAAGTCAGGTGGCTGGAGGGTAGTTCCCTGAAGCTGTCCTGGGAGGGCCCAGAGAACCATCTCCATTTCCACTTTGAGAGATTCCAAATTTTCTCCATAAATTCCTCTTTCCTCCCCCATCCTTGCCACTCCTTCCTCATCACAGCAGTCTTTCCTGATACTGAACAAATGTCTGGAAATCACAATTTTCTCTACTGCCAGGCCTGGGTTTCCCCATTTTTGCCTTGGCTGGTCCTGTATTTTCTATTTAACCCCTTCTTAATGTAGGCATTTTTCATTCAGAGGCAAAATTAGGAATTGGGGCAGTAGGGGAAAATTCAACTGAGCCGGTGTGTGTGTGTGTGTGTGTGTGTGTGTGTGTGTGTGTGTGTGTGTGTGCTCACATGCCTGTGTGTGGGTGATGGTTGGGAGGGGGAAAGCAGATGTCTAAAGCACTTGTATATGATTGAGGAAGATTGGAGACAGGGGTCATGGGAGTTGAGAAGGCTGAGGAACTGTGAGAAAGGGCATTCAAAAGAGGCAGGAATTTGGGGAGAAATAAGATGGTGTGGAAAGTTTGGAGTTTCCTGGGGAGGATGAGTGACCTGGAGGTCTTTTAGATGCAAACATGATATGAAGGCTCCGGCCAGGACAGAATGACCTTTAAAGGAGAGGGGTTGCTGAGTGATGGAGGCAGAGGGAGGGTCTGAAAGGGGCAGTGGGGAGCAAGGATTATATCAACTTCTCCTCCTGATCCTGTGTGAAAGGGGGTATGAGAGAAGGAACAGCCAGCTGGTGTGAAGGGGCGGCCAAGAGATAGATGTCTTCAGGAAAGAGTTAGGCTTCAGAGAGTTCCAGAAGATGGCAAAGATTTGGGAGGAAGAGATCTAAGATCCTAAATTGAGAAAACGAGGGGACCTTGGATGTCATCCAGCCGAACGATCTTACTTTACAGTTGATGACATTGAGGTATGGAGAACAAAGTCCAGTGGTTCCGTGGGTGGTGGCAGAGCCAGGGATCCAAACACAGGTCCTCTGACTCTAAATCTATCTATGTTTCCACTGTGTTTCACTAAAGCCACTCTGTTTCCAATATAAAAGTAGCTAAGAACTGAATTCACTATAGGGGATGGCAGCTGCTGGCATGGCCAGTGGTGAGTCTTTTTGGCTACTGAATGCCACTGATGATCCTATACCAATATGCCCCTGACTTAGGACTGTAGGCCAAGTGGCTGGTGGGGATGGGGGTGGGGAAGAAGAGGAAGGGCGCTCATGTCATCTTTCTCCAGCCAGAAGGTGCTAGGAGAGGAATTTGGCAGTCACGGGACCTGGAGGGGTTGAGAACCCAGGGCAATGTGAAGGGGTGGGCCAGCTGGGTAGCTGGTATTGCCAGGTGGGCAGGGTGGGGAATGTACCACCCAAGGGAAGGAATAACCCCCCGCCACGTCTTGGTGATATTAGTATGTAATCAGTATCTGAAATCTTCTGAACTGGCTCTGCCCCTGCTGCTCCTGCAGCCCCTTCATTCCATTAGTGAATTCCCGTCCGGCACTTGCTCATCTCACTTCTAACCTAGCTCCACTCTTGACTATCCGGAACCTTCCCTGCCCCCAGCTTTTCAGATCCCTTTTATATACTCTCTTCCCTCATTAGAATCCTTGAGGGTAGTGATTAGTTTTGTAATTCCAGTGCTTGTATACAGTAAGTTCTTAATAAATGTTCAGTTTGTCTGTCTGTCTCCTGCTTTCATCCCTTCTGCTCATTGCTCTTCCTTCCTTCCTATTTTCCCTCCTGACTCTTTATTCCAGCCCTAAGCCACATCCTCACTCTCCATCTCAACATCTGGTAATTCTGAACTCCAGATTCTGTCGGAGGAAGGCGTAGAGATCCTGGCATGGTGACATCTTGCCATTTCTTTACTGGTTTTTGTCCTATTTTTCCTCTTGCCTCTCTTCTGTTCTCTCTTTCCTTTTCTCTAGGTTTCTTCTCCTTTTCTCCCTTCCCCATCAGCTTCCCTGCCTTCAATAGTCCCCTTCTGTCCTAGGAGAGTGTCTATGTCTCTATCAATCAGGAAGCCTTTTCTCCCTCCCTGTTCTGTGAAGGGAGCACTCTGGGGATTTATGATGGGCCTCACAGCCACTGGGAAGGACACCTTCCACTATCTGTGCTTGTGGGGACTGCTGTCTGCTAAGTTGGCTCAGGGGGCATCATGGCTGCCAGGCCTGGAGGGTCCCCATTCTTAAAAAAAGGAACCCAGCCTCAGAGCGCCTATTTGTCCTAGTTCACCGAGATGGGCCCTGGTTTTTCTGAGTCTAAGGAATGTGTTTGGCCTCAGGGCCCTTTTGTGTGGTGGGGGGAGAAGGGAGGAAGGTTAGGAGGGGGCAGTGCGGGTGTAGGGAGGAAGCATCAGTTCCTGGGCCAGGAATGTACCCTTTGATTCTTCTTAGCATCTCCTGAATTGTCCCTGCCTCAAGTCTCTCCCCACTTCAATCCTTCCTCAGCTTCCACGGCAATCCCTCTCAAGCACAAAAGACCTGACCATGCACTTCGGGGCTCAATGAGCATCCTCTGTTTGGGTTTTCCCAAGGTGGCTCCTTGCTGCTTTTCCTGCTTCCTTAGGCTTTGTAGTCTTCCATTTATTCTGTGATCTAGGTACATAAGTGCCTCATTGTGGCTCCTCAGTGTATTTGTATTGACTGTGCCCCATGTCTGGAATGCTCTGCCCCCTAAAGCCTCAGATCTTCTGGGAAGGCCTTTTCTTGCCCCCCCCCATTCAGCCAGTGCCTTACCATCCCATACTACTTTCTGTCTGTCTCCTCCTGATATCTTAAACAGACCTACTGATTTAGATAGTGTCTGTTCCATTTAAATGGAAGAACTCCTTGAGGGAGCAGGCGCCATGTTTTTGTCCTTCTTTGTATCCCCAGGGCTTAGAAAAATGCCTATATATATAGGGGCCTGTTATATAATAAGGGTTTAATAAATGCTTAACTGGCTGAGCTCACAGAACTAGGAGGGACTGCACGATTGAGGGGAAGGAACCCTTCAGTTTCTCTTTTGTACCAAACTACTACCAGTCTGAGGAAGAATACAGTGGATGAATGACTGGCAATTGATAATAATAATTTGTTGACAACATTAACATTATTTTGATAATAATTGATAATTGGTTGATGATAATAATAGCTTATATGATATAACTGTATATATTGAACTGTATTTATAAAATACTTTACGTACATTATCACATTTGAACCTTTGAACAACTCCATGAGGGAGTCACTCCTATATGATAAGCTCCATTTTACAGATGAGGAAATTAGGGCTTAGAGAAGTCAAATGACTTGCCCTAGGTCACACAGCAAGTGAAGGGCTAAGCCAGGACTTGAACCCAGATCTTTTGACTCCAATTTTAGTACTCTTTCCATTGCAACACACTATCTCTCAATCTTCTCTGCAGAGACTGGGGAGGCAGGTAGGAGGGGTGTCAAAGGGCCCTTTTAAACAGGCACATAAAGCAAGAACCAACTGGAGTCAAGAGACCAGGGTTCAAATCCTGCCTCGGATATGTGTCACATGTGTGATTTTGAGCAAGTCGCTCACCGCCTCTGGGCCTCAGTTTCCCTATATGTAAAATGAGGATGTTGGACTAAGTGGTCTTTGTGGTCTCTTCTGGCTTTAGATCTATGGCCTCTACTATGGACTATGGCTTAGGTGGGTCAACCAGCCACTGATGTGGCATCCTTCACACATCTCCCTGAGCCGTGTGGAAGTCCCTCATCAGCAAGGGAATGTGAAAAATGATAGCAGCACAGGTCTGGGGAGGGTACAGCAGAGCCAAGAGATGTCTGGGTGATGACAGGAGGAACATCGGTAAGAAAATCTAGCTGGCACGTCTAAGCCCCAGGAAGCGCTCACATTTATACATAACTGCTGTAGGGGTTACAACAACCTTGCGAGGCAAGTAGTCTTGTGCTTATCATTCTCATTTTGCAGCTTGAGAAACTGAGGCTCAGAGAGGCAGATTTCAGGTGGATGTAAAGAAATATTTTTCTACGACTCCGGGCTTTCCAGAAGTGGGATGAACTGACTTAAGAGGCAGTGGGTCCTCTCTCACTGGAGGTTCTGAAATTGAAATTGGACAACTACTTGTCAATGACAGAGCAATTTTTTATACCTGAGACAACAACTTCAAACCACAGCTAGAGAAACTTCAGTATGAAATGCATCTTCAGTTGGGAGCATGGGGTGTGGTGGGGAGATAGACCAGTGGGAGTGATGCAGTGCTAGAAGTGGAGATCAAAACAGTACCATCTGGTAGCTCCTATTTTAACTAATTATTCTTGCTAAATAGATGCTATAAACCCTATTTTTCCACACTTCGGATGCATTGTAAGTGCTGTCAGAACCCTCTAAATTCAATGCCTTGGGGCAAAGACCCCACTACCTTGTCTTGGTTACAGCTCTGGTCAGCATTCACAGTAAGTGCTTAATAAATGCTTTTTAATTGATGTAGAGGGATGAATTGGATTGAATTGCCTTTGAGGTCCTTTCTAACAGAGACTGTAAAGGTTAACCGTAGAGGTTAAATGATTTGCCAATGGTCACACAGCTGGCAAGTGTAGCATAGAGCTGGGATTGGAACCCAAGTTTCTCCTGACTCCAAATCTAAAGTACTTTGTACTCTACCACCTTGTTTTCCATGACTTTTAGGCTAGTACATCAAGCGATCCCATCAGGAAAGTTTCCCCACCTTCAGCCCTGTTTACTCTCCAGGCTATAACCCAGATCTCACTCAGTGTTATGCAAAACTGGTTTGGACTCACCCAGGCCAAAGTGTGCCACAGGTTCCATTTCACACAGGTAGCCCGAGCCACCATCAATGATCCTCAGGTGAGCCCCACTCTTCTTGGTGTAAAGCACCACCTTGGCCCCCCTCGCAAAGGCTCCAACTGGGTCCGGGGCACCACACGAAGCCAGTTGTTTCTGAATCCCTGAGGGTGGAGGTGAAGAGAAGAAAGCCCAGTTATCCTCTGAGGAGTAAGAGTAGCAGAAATCTGTGGACATAGCCATGGGGCCTTGGTATGGAGATCGAAGGGAGATGTAAGGAAAAAAGAGGAGGAATGAAACTGGGGAAAGCAGGAATGGGCAAAAGGAAAAATGGAACAGAAGAAGGATCTAGGGAAATAGAGAAGGGCAAAATGAGGATATGCTGGAAGGGAAGGGAAGGACAAAAGCAGAAGGTGTGTGGTGGCAAGAGGAGAAGGGGGAGGGATCCTAGGATCAAGTCTTCGTTTTTTTCAGAGTCTGAATGCATTGGGTTTTCCCTTTAAAGTCATAGGATTCCTCAAGCTGGTCCAGAGATCATTAACTCTTTCTCCCACACTCATCCCAGAGTCCATGAGGTCTCATCTGACATGGGCTCTGTTGGTCAGTCCCCTACTTACCTGGTTCCCCCGGAAGACAGACAGAGGCTGTGCCATGGACTCTCCATGCGACAGGATCAAGTCCAGCATTCCATCTCCATCAAAGTCGGTCACCACGCCCCCTGTAACAACACAGACTTAACTCCTTGTTCTAGGCTAGGGAGGTCAGAGCACAAAAATATGGAGCCTGAAAACCCACCTCCTAAACCCTAAAAATTGTGCATAAAGGGTGGGGCAAAAAAGTGGTTCCAGATAACTAGACTATATGAGTTCTTGCTGGTGATTTTTTTGGGGAAAAGGGTCCCTTAGAAATGGTTTGACGTCTTGACCTTGTATCCTTCCTGATGAGGTTACTTAACCTCAACTTAACTTTAACTTAATCTTCATTCAGGATTAACTCTGCCCCAGACCCTGGGACCAAGCTAATCCTGTAGGCCAGTGAGACAGAAGAACTCCATGAAGGCACAGCTTGGGTCTCAGTATCAAGCCAGCTTTGTTGTTGACTCTGCTCTGATCTTGTACTTCATTTGTCCTACTTGATCCTGGCTGTGGGGTGAGGATCTGTTGGATGTGAAATACACCTGCCCCCCACTGCATTGATTGACCTTTGGGTGTAGAAGGGGGGCTGTCTGTGAACCATGCTAGCAGAATGGATGAGAGATGTCAACAGAACCATAATTAAAACAAACCTCATAGCCCTAGTGAGAGAATGCCAGAGAGTCACCACTACTCACATGAGACAAAGATTTATCCATAGTTCACAAGTCACTAAAGGCTGTTGATTTTGGTAACCCCAACTCTCTGACCTTGTCTTGAATATCTTTCTGTTGTTGAGTTGTGAATCAACTGGCTTTCTTGCCTCTATACTTTTCTCTCTCCAATTTATCCTTCCCACAATCAAGGTAATCTTCCTAATGAAATTCCCTGATCCCCTTCCCATTTACTGGAAAATCCTCAATGGTTTCGCGTTGCCTACTGAATTAAATATCGATTCCTGATACTGACATTCAGTGCCCCAAATAATCTGGCTTCAACCTCCATCTCCAGCTCTCCCTCACAAATGCTCCAGCTAAATCGAGCTACTTTATCCCCTGTTTCTGCCCTCCATCTACTCATGCCTCCTTTACTCCCATGGTTCACCTGTCAAAGTCCTGTCCTGATTTCAAGACTCAACTCTTCCTTGTAGCCTGCCCTGAAACCTACTCCCTGGTTCTCCTGGTGAAAGTGAAGTCTCTCTCCTTAAACACTTTGTAGACTTTTCCTGGAAACTCCTTTATATTTATTTCCCCTTGTAGTATGATTCCTTGTGTCTTTCTTCTCTTTGATCATAAGCTTCTTGAGAGCAGTCTGTATCATATCTAGCTTTGTATTCCTACAGAGTGCCTTGCACACTGTAGGTGCATAATAAATGTTTGTTAAAGTGTACTGATATTGCTGACCTGTAAATGGCCCAAGCTACAAGTCTCTTTCATCATTAGTCGATTTCTAGTTCCATGTATTGACAAGTTGCTTAGCTGCCAAAGTTATTTTCCTATCCATGGCACCCTCTCTCCAATGTAACAACCTCCAATGGCTCCCTATTACCTCCATCACGCAATATGCATAAATCCCATCCTTGATATTTAAAAGTATTTTATAACCTGCCCCCTGCCTACTTTTCCAGTCTTCTCACACTTTACTTTCCTCCAAGAATTCTTAAGATCCAGACATGTTGTTCAGTCATGTCCTACTCTTTGTGACCCCATTTGGAGGTTTCCTTGGCAAAGATATTAGATTGGTTTTGCCATTTCCTTCTCCAGCTCATTTTATAGATGAGGAAATTGAGGCAAATAGGATTAAGTGACTTTCCCAGGGTCACACAGCTAGGAAATGTCTGAGGCTAGATTTGAACTCACAAAGATGAGTCTTCCTGATTCTAGATCCAGCGCTCTATTCACCATACCACCTTGCTGTTCTAAGATCTAGCTATACTTGGCCTACAAGCTCATCACACGTGGTACTCCATGCATATTCTATGGCGGTCACCCATGCCTGGGAGGCTAGGTGCCCTCATTTCTGACTCCTGGCTTCAAGTCTTAGCTCAAAGCCCACCTTCTGCAGGAGACCTTTCCCATTCTTCCTTAATGTTAGTGACTTCTCTTTCAGAGAATAGTGTATTTCACTTATAGTGTATTTATCTGGCTTGTAAAGAGCTGTTTACATGTTGCCTCCTTCATTAGATTATAAGCCCTGGAGGGCAGGAGCTGCTTTTGCTTTTCTTTGTATCTCTAGTGCTTACCTGGTAGCTGGTGCTCAGTAGGTGTTTAATAAATGCTCCTTGACTGACTGATCGGCCTCTGCCCTTATGGTATTGTCAAATACCCTCCCAAAGTCACATAGGAGGTAAGTAGCCGAGCTAAGATTTGAACCCAGTTTTCCTGACTCCACATTCCACTGCCCCACACTGGAACTGCCCCTGATCCTGGGAGGGATGAGGGACAGGGCTGGATCACAACAGACAAGGGGGAAGGCTTATGTCAAGAACTAAGGTAGAGTTACCTTCTAGGCAAAATTGCTTAACTGTGTACAGGTTCATGTGCAGGCACCCTTGAGTAAAGCCTATATAATCTAATACAAATATAATATATTTGTATGTATAATATATGATATGATAGAATGTATTTGTAATATAAATATAAATTTGTAATATAAATATAAATATAAATTGTCTTTGCTCTTTTGGGCTTGCTCTCCTCTACCAAATGACCTCATAAATTTATTTCTAAAACTAAAAATCAAAGAAACAAACAAAAAACCAAGCAAGATCCTGCCTCCTCAGTACCTCCATTAATAGCTGCTTGCTGCTCGTCAAGCTGACCGGGGGAAGGAGTGAATGGCTATGGTGCTGCCTGGAAGCTAGAAGTCCTTCCTGCAGCTAGGAGCTAAAGCCCACCTGGATCTGCCCAGGGGCCTGCTGGAGGTGAGATCCACTTGGCCAAGAACCAGGCTGTCACAGCCCCAATTAGCCTGAGGGTGGAGGAGGGAAAGGCTGCAAGTATTCAGGCACCATCCAACCCCCCCCATCTCTCCCCTCCCAAGGTCAGGGGCCCTTTCATCGTGGGCCAGAGGAATATGGAGTCAGAAAAACTGGCTTCAAATCCCACTTACCAGCTACGTGGCTTGGGACAGGTCACATCATCACTCAAAGCCTCAGTTTCTTCGACTGTAAAAGGATGCAATTGTACTAGATGGCCTTGAATTTCCCTTTCATCTCTAAATCTATGATCTTATGGTCTTATCTCACCGTGTTTGAATTCTCTAGTTTCTAGAGCCCCAGTCCTCCCTGGTCTGGCTCGTTTAGCTGCTTGTTCAGCGCTAGTAATAACAGCTGATATGAGATGACATTTACATGGCCATTTATAGTTGGCAAAGCACTTTGCAGGTAGTGTATTATTTGATCCTCACAACAAGCCTTTCAGGTAGGTCTCATCATTATTCCCATTCTACAGATGAGGAAACTAAGGGTCAGGGAGATAAAGTGATTGTCCAGGGTGACACAGCTAAGTGAGTATCAGAGGTAGAATTTGAACCTAGGACTCTCCTGATTCCAGGTCCAGTGGTCTTCCTACTCTACCACTGCCGAGGGATAGAAGGACTCAGAACTCGTGGAACCTCCCAGGCAAGGAACAGAAGTGGGCCCAGAGTCTCTCCACCATTTTCTGTTTTTTCCATCCTTTACAGGAGTACCTCTGCATTGTCAATGAACATCAGTATAGAAACCTCCATCCTACCAACTCCCACCTCCTGCCCTGGAATCTTAGGAATGGGTAATCCCTCCTTCCCTCTTTCTGTACCATAGATGCCAAAAACTGCATTGCCACCCCTCCTCCCCCAGCCCATTTCTCTTTGTGATCCTGACTAGGTGGGCAAAGGGGGGAGGGGAGAACTATACTTTGAGCTGCACTTTACCATCCACCTTCATTTTGAGATGTGGACAAGGGTGAGCTAGAAGATCTGCACCAGGGAATGCCTGGACACTTTCTTACCTGTGCCCCGGCCTTCGGGCTCCAAGGCATCTCCAGGATTGAGCTCTTCGATGAGGGGGTCAGCATGCTCCCTGCGGATGATTCTGTGGTGAAAGAGAGAAAACAGCGTCAAAAACTAGCCTCTGGAGCAGGGGTTCTTAACCTGTGGTCTGTGGATCGACAGGAAAGAAAATGGCACCCTTATTTTCAGTAACTTTGGGGTTCTTTCCTTTGTAATCTTATGCATTTTTACGCATTTAAAAAACATTATCCTAGGCTTCCTCAGATTGTTAAAAGGGGGCCATGACCCAAAAACGTTTAAGAACTGGAGGGTCCACAATTTCCATTTTGCCCGTGTTAGTCAATGCTCCTTTCTTGGAACCAGTTACTCGCCTCACTCCTAATTTTTCATCAGAAAAGGTAACAATCACAGAGGCCTGGAAGGGACAGACCTCAGATATCATCTAGCAGCACCTCCTCATTTTATATTTGAGGAAACCGACTCCCAGAGAGGGAAATAACCTGCTCAGGGCCACACAGTAAATTTGGGGCGGAGCAATGCTTTGGCTTCTTCTAGGAACTGCTGGGACCAGAGCACAAACATCCATCCTTGTACTCCGTGAACAGTAGGTATTAATGCTGAATATTTACTGAGAACCACGGTGTCCTTGGCACTGCCTGGAATGCCCACACAGCACACCTCTGCTCTGCTCGCCCCCATACTGTGGTCTTTGTCGCTCCTCTCTTTTGATAGGATTTCATTTATTTGTGCACATGTTGCTTTTCCCCTTTTGTTATGGGTAGTTTGTAGACTGCCTGGGGAAAGACAGCTGATTGACAGTGAAGACTGAGGGGGAGAGAGATGTCCTTAAGTGACCCAAGGGCTTGTAGGGGGTTCTTCCTTTCCCTTACAGAGGGATGGAGGAGGGAAGTGATTTCCTTAAAGGCACATTCATAACGAAGCCACGTAAATAGAAAGCAACCAACCCTATACTCTTTACACAGGGGTGTCCTCCTCCCGTTCCCTTACTATATTTAGGGGGCCGAGCCGCGACAGCTGTCCACACAATTTTTCTTTCTCTTCTCTTCCCCCTAGTCTTTCCCTCTTTATGATTACTGACCCAGATTCTTGGCACCCGATGTATACAGCAAATGTGGGGGAGGACAGAAAGCCATGGATGGGCCACCAGAAACCTGCCCCTGGGTCACATTTGAAGGATGCTGCTGAATTTGATCCAGAAAGTAACTGGGAGCCCCTGGAGGGCTCCGATGGGGCCAAAAAAGAAGGCTTCCTGGATTCATTTGGTGCCATTAGCATTTTTAACGAAGATTGGAGAGGAAGGGGACTAGCCCTGGCTGGGTCCCTTGAGCTTCTGAGTTTTCTGTTGGAATATGTGAATCTGTCAAGAAGGAATGTGTCTTTGTGTGTCTGTGTCTCTATTCATGTAATGTGTATTTGGCCAAGGGTCCATGGTGAGTCTGCACGTATGAGAGCTGTGCATGTAATTTGAGAAAGTGTGATGATACCATATCTGTGTTTGTGTTTGCTTGCTGGGGACCTATCTAGACTAGCTGTGTACACAGTGCTAGAGTCTTTAACATACCTAATTCCTTTACGGATGTTTGTACTCTGACCAGTCTGTCACCCGTGTCCTGAATACATTTCTGTTCCTCTCCTAGACTATTATTATAGTCTAAGAGCCCTCAAAGAATAACCTTCAAATATGCAGATGAGGAGGACCGACCCTCAGTGTTGCCTGGAGCACGCAGGGTCTGGAGGACCAAGGAGAGTGGAGCAGGGCCTTGGTGGATGAGGGAAGAGGGCTCTGTCCAGTGAAAGGGGCAGGTGAGAAGACCAAGCCGTGTGGTGCTGGAAGGGGTTAAAACTGCCACGGGCAGCCAGCTGTGCAGTGGCCCCAGCTGTTAGACCCTCTCATACTCACCACTGTGTGCTCAGGACCCAACCATCTGCCACAGGGACCGTGGGCACGGCTGCTTACCAGGCAACTGACTGCCGGGCCACAGCTAGGGGCAGTGCCTCCAGGACTGCAGTAAACACTCACCCACGTGGGCGGCCATGTGCTTAACCTGTTCCCTGCCAGCCCCCAAGCCAGCCTGATGCCCCTCAACCTTCCCTACGGCCGAGGAAGGGGTGTCTGGGCATCTGATTGGGCCTGGCGCTTGCTGCTAGGTGGGGGAGGGCAGAGTCTGTGTGGGAGAAGGAGAAAGGCGGAGGGTCATGAGAAGAATAGTAAAAATACTTGAGTTCTGGGGCCAGAGAGAAACAAATGAGATCTACCTCTCCCTGCTCAGGGGCCCCTGGCAAGTGACACTTTATTACCCTGAGAAGAAAAGCACGTCTCTGTTAATGAGCAATTGATCTTCTGCAATTAATCTGGAAGTCGTGAATAAGCTTTTTGCAAGGCACCTAATTAGTAAATCTGGTGCCTTCAGGGAGTGATTACATCCAGTCAGGATTGATGCTTTGTTAATAATTATATTTTAAAACATGCTTAGTCATAGCCCTCGCCTTTTATTAATAGTAGTTGGCCATGCTCCTGGGCTAGGGAGTTGGGGGCTCAGAGGAGCAGAGTCAGGGATCTGGGAAATTTCCAGAACCTACAGACCCTTGGCCTTCCCATTCCTGTTCTTTTCCCTTTTACTTAGCCGAGTGAGCCCCATGAGCTCCTCTGGTCAGGGTTCAGGGCAATCTGGAGCCCCACTAGCCTACAAAGTAGCAGGTAGGTCAGACTACTTGGTACCTAGGTGCAGTAGGGACAATTCTCAGGACTGTAGAAACACATCTCGGTTTCTGCTCTTCTCATAGAAAACACTCACCCTCCTCTCTCACTGTGATACAGAAATGCTTACATCTTCCTCCAGCATCCACCTTCTCAACCGTTAAATCTTCTAAACCATTAAAGTCCTTCCTGCCTCCATCATGTGGATGCCAGCATTCTGCCCTATTTGTCAGGGCTGGACTTACATAGTGCTTCAGGGTTTGCAGTTATTACAACAACTCTAAGAGGCAGGTACTATTGTCATCCCCATTTCAGAGATGGGAAAACTGAGGTAGAGAGAACTTAGGTGACTCACTCAAGGGTCACAGAGGTTGTAAGTGTCTGAGGCAGGATTTCAAGTTTAATCTATCTACCGTACTCCCCAGCTGCTTTGGCAGACACTGTGGTTTCATGTCTAAGGTCCCTGCCTTGACTGGTTCCTGAACATCCGTTGTTCTGTTTTAGGACCAAAGACTTAGAACCAGAAGGTTCTAAACATCTCATCACAGGGTCATAGATCCACAGCTGGAAGGGACCTTAGAGGTCATCTAGTACAACCTCCATTATCATTATTATTATTATTTTTTAGGTTTGTTTCATTTTTGGAGGCAATCCAGGTTAAGTGACTTGCCCAGGGTCACACAGCTAGTGAGTGTCTAAGGCCACATTTGAACTCAGGTCCTCCTGACTCCAGGGCTGGTGCTCTATCTATAGTGCTACCTAGCTGCCCCACCAATTCTCTTATTTTGCAGATGAGGAAACGAAGACCCACGATGGTTAAATGATTTGCCCAAGGTCATATAGCTAAGTGAGTAGCAGAATTGGAATTTGAACTCAGGTCCTCAGATTCCAAATCCAGTATTCTTTCTGCTATGCAGTACCATGCCACTTATCCATCACGAGACCCTCTGTCGCTCATCAATTCTTTGAAACGCTTGCATCTCTTCTGAGTCTTATCTCTTCTTCCTAGCCTGGCACCCAGCTCACTGACTGGCCCTTCTGTTCCCTGATGCCCTTCCAGCTGTGCAGGGTGAACGGACAGACGCCCCAGGGAAGGGCCTACCTGAAGAGACGGTTGGCCGAAGAGCCTCGATAGGCAATGTTGTTGAAGAAAACCTCCAGCTCTTGGTCATTGTCAAAGTCAGCAGCAATGACCGTGCGGACAGGGGGATGGCATAGAGAACTTGGGAGTGGCGATGTCCTGGGCAGACAGATGGAGAGAGGTCAGGAGAAGCAGGAGGTCCTCCTGCTAGGGAGGACCCTTCAATCTCCCCTTCCCCACCCCCGCCCAGGGCAATCAATCAATCAATCAACAAACGTTTATCAATAGCCCACTTTGGGGAAGGCATTGGGCAAGGAGACCAGGGTATACACTCCAAACAGGCATTTGCTAAATATTGGTTGAATTGAAGGAAATAAGATAGTCCAGAATACCTTCTCTTATTTTACTGCCAGTAGTAGCCTGGGTATGGCCACCATGTGGTGGACCTGGGAGAGGCTCAGATTTGCCCTCAGCACATCGTAGATCATAGGATGACAGCTGAAAAGGACCTTAGAAACTATTTAGTCTAATTGTTCCCATTTAACAGATGAATACACTGAAGACGGAGAGATGAAGTCACTTGCCTGTGGTCATGTGGATAGTAAGTGACAGGTGGTCTCATTATAAATCCAGGGCTCACTCCACCACACCATGACACCTTCTCACGCTGTTAGCTTGTCAACAGAACAAAGCATTCTGCTCCTCTCCTCCCTGTGTAGTCTTGTATCTCTCTTGCTCCTCTCCCTCCCTCTCTCTTTTTTTCAGCTCCCCAGTTTCCTTTCCCCCTTGCCCCTGTCTTGGGGCTGTTAGCAGCACTTAGAGGCAAGTATTGCTTAACTCTGCTGGTGGTGCTCAGGACTACAGATGCTGAAGAACTTGTGTTTTGGATCATTTGGGGGACGGGGATGCCTGGCTCTTTCTGGCTAGCAAGTTCCTTCTCTTGGCTGGCTGTGCATCCAATTCCCACGCGCGGGTTTAAAAGGGATCTGCTCCCATTTTCTCCCTTCCCCTGCATCACCAGGGGTTAGTTTCTCCCCTCTAGCTGAGGGTTTTAAGCCTCTCACAAGTATACGTGGGACCTGCCGACTTCAGCTGTTTTCCTTGCTGCCTTAATCAGATAATCGCTAATTATTGTGAATAATTAACAATGCACATAACTTATTATTAATAACAAAAATGAATCATTATTATTGTTATTGATAATACTACCAACATTTGTATAATGAGTCTAAGTTTGCAAAATGCTTTCCTCACAATAACCTAGTGAAACAGTGAAATAACACCTACATTGTTATTTCCATTTTAATAATAACAGCTTTTAAAAATAATAACTATTACTTATACCAATTTATATAGCACATACTATGTGCTAGGCACTGTGCTGAATGCTTCCTTTGATCCTTATGACAACCCTGGAAGGTAGGTACTATTGATATCCCCATTTTACAGAAGAGGAAACTGAAGTAAACAGAGGTTTAGTGACTTGCTCAGGGTCACACAGCTAGTACATGACTGAGTTTGCATTTGGCTCAGGTCTTCCTGACTCCAGGCCCAGCACTCTCTATCCATTTTGATACCTAGCTGCCCATTTTACAGATAAGAAAGATGAGGCTCAGAGACATTAATTTAGTTGCCCAAGGTCATACAGGGAGTAAGTGTCCGAGCTGAGATTCAAACCTAGGTCCCATGACTCCAGGTTCAGTGTGCTTTTCATTCTACCCCTTCTGTGTTATTCCTGAGGTTCACTCAGCTGTACTTAGAAGTGTCTTTTTGGGTGGAAGGACAGATGAAAGAATGCCAGCCCACGAGCGGGTAGGGACAGACCCACATCCAGAATAAGTGGGCTGGGACCCCTCTAAGCTGGCTGAGTCTTTACACCGCTGGAGAAAGGGACACTTGACTCTAGAGAGGAGTTATTCCTTTGGGGATAAGAGGAAAGTTTGGGTTCCATGACCTTTTAGTTTGGGAGTGAGGGCCCTTTGGCCTGTTGCCTTGGAGGACTCCCAGCCTCACAACATGGCTCATTGGAGCCGAGTTCCGAACACTCCCTTTGTGCCCTCTGGGAGTCCTATGTTGTCCCTCTTGCCATTCCCCAGGCTCTTGGTCCACTGATCCCTCGGATGACTGTTGTAACGAGCCAGTGGCTGATGCGGCTGGCAAGCTGCCTGCTCTGGAGAGGCCAGCCCCCTCTTATGAGAGGCCAGAGAAAGAGGTCACTCCCCATGAGCCTGGTAATGAGGCTGATTTAAAGACATGCTTCATCCAGCCAGGAGCAGGCTATGAGAATCCATGGGAGCCTGGGGACCTGGAAGCATAGAGGCAGCTAGCCACCCCCAGCTTCTTTCTCCTCATCTTCCCATTGCTGCCTTCTCCCCTTGGGCTGCCCGGGTCTCCCTCTGCACTGGTGCCTCATTCCTAGAACTTGGAAATTCAGTCTCTTATTGTTACTCTTCCTCATGCACTCTACAATCCAGCCAAACTCCCACCTCCACATCTTTGTACAGGCTGTCCTCATGCCTGGAAGACACTTCTGCCTCTTAAAATTCCTAGCTTTGCGCAGGGACTGCCTCCTGCTACCCCATGAAATGATTTTGTATTTATTCGTATGGGTGCATGTTTTCCCCAATAGAACGTAAGTTCATGGAGAAAGGGACTTTCATTTTTGTCCTTGAATCCCCAGGGTTTAGGACGACTGGGTTTAGGTATCTGCCCACTGCTGCGCCCTCCAAAAGCCCTGTTGCATCTTCACTGTCTTCCCTGCATGCAGCTGAGCCTTCCACTATGTGCTGGCTCCTCTTATTAGAATACGAGCCTCTTGAAAGCTAGGGCCATCTTGCTTTTCTTTTTGTATTCCCAGCACTCAGTACAGTTCTTTGTACATAGTAATTGACTAATAAATGCTTTCCCACTCATTCATAGTAGGCACTGAATAAGTGCTCATTGGATAAATAAAAGAAACGAATCTAAGAAACTCTAGCTGTTCTTACAGCTCCCAGAGTGCGTTGGCTTTCCTTTTAACTGTGAATCCAGAAGAGGCCAGTATCCTGTGCTGTCAGACTACAGGCATGGTCCAGGGAAGGCAAATGTGACTGCCCATGGTCTTCTCCAGTGAACTCTAGGAACTTTGCTGAGAAGCTTCTCTGTCTCCACTCTGTCCTGGCAAGGAGTCAGAGGCAAAGGCAGATGACCAGACTTCAGGATAAATGTTTTTGACCCTAGGTTTGGGGAACCTAGAAGGGTCCACAGCACCCTGAGTGACCTGTGCTAAAGGAACAACCCCTTTCTTACTGTTGGTGGGAAGCATCTGTCATTGTCCCTCAATGTTTAGAGCATTTTTGATGCTGGAAAATTATGGTAATAGGATTATGGAAAGTCATAGAATTAGGAAGTCCTAGAATCTCAGAGCTGAGACCAGGGACCACAATGACCATGAAGTTCAGCGTGTACCTGAACAGGAATCACTTATAGAACATCGGTGAGAAGAGCTGGTGTAGCCCCCCCTGAAGATGTCCAGTGACGAGGAAATTGAGTACTTCTGAAAGCAGGCCATTTGATGTTGGGGTTGCTTTACTTGTGCCACAGGTTTTCTTCTGTCAAGCCTAAATTGGCCTCTGCAGCTACCACCTAAAACTCTTAGTTCTGCCCCCAGGGACAAAGCAGGGCAATCTACTCCTTCCATGGAACATCCCTGCCCTCTTCCATAGGACAGCCCCTTGCTACGACTCCTTAGGAGGGTACCTGAGGGATGAGCTATCAAAGAGAATATAGGGATATGGGAGGGAAAGATGGTAACTTGATCTGAGAAAGGCTCGATCTGTCATTGGACAGGTTGGTCATCTCTGCCCTGCTAACGGGCTGAGAACTAGGGCCAGGAGTGAAAGAGAAGGTCCAGCAGGAGCATGGGCTTTGACCCATAAAGAGAATGGGCTATTCCTGGTGAGAGGGAGCTAACATGAAGGAGGGAGATTCCCAAGATGATGGTGTCTGCCTTTGAGCTCAAAGGGATCTTAGAATTTAGAGGTAGAAGGGATGTTAGAGATTATACAGGCGGTGGGGGCCATTCCAATTGCCATAGACGATATCCACGTTGCCATCCCTGTTGCAGTCAGCCAGGGCTATACCACGCCCATGCTGCTGTGGGTCATCCACACCTGGAATGTTGAAGAGAGGGTGAGTAGAGATTCCTACTGGGCAGTACCCAGGACTCCTGGCTGCTAGGCTGCCAGCCGAGAGAAGGAACTTGCTAGCCAGAAAGAGCCAGGCACCCCCATCCCCCAAATGATCCAAAACACAAGTTCTTCAGCATCTGTAGTCCTGAGCACCACCAGCAGGCTGCTTTGAATAAAAGATGAAGAAGACACGGTAACACTTCCATGGTCTAGGGCTATGGAGCCCTTCCAGGGGAGAGTGAAGCAAGGTGACTTCAGGGCCCATGCAGGTGGCGTGAAGCTCAGAAAAGGAGCCAGCCTGACCTTGGCAGTAGGATTGGTGGAGTTGGTACCCAGAGTTTAACTGCTGCCCTTTATTGCTACATAAATATTTGAACCCAAGAGGTGGTATTATCATATTCTAGGCTCCACCATTAGGAGAGGAGAGAGAGGGAGGGAAGAAGGGGAGGGAGAGAGGGAGCAAGAGGAAGTAGGAAGAGATGAAGAGGGGGGAAGGGTGGTACAGAGACAGGGGAAAGGGGAGAAAGAAGGAGAGAGGAAGAGGGAGAGTGAGGAAGGGAGGGAGGGAGGGGGAGAGAGAGAGAGAGAGAGAGAGAGAGAGAGAGAGAGAGAGAGAGAGAGAGAGAGAGAGAGAGAGAGAGAGAGAGAGAGAGAATGAGAATGGGGTAGGGGCAGGACTTTTTCTAGAATCTTCTTGTCAAGGGACATACTCACCTGCCCTTATGAACCCCACACTTCCCTTTACCAAAAAAAAGCCCAAAGTTCGTCTCATAGGCACTGAGGCCACAAAATCGTTTTGAATTGTGCTATTTTCATCACAACAAAATTTTCTCCCCAGGTGGAAGGAACTGCTTTCAAAATAATGCGCTTCCCTTCCTGATTCTGAGTTTTCTGGGATTGAGAACTGGAAGGGAATTGGATATTTCCTTTCCCAGAAGATCCCTAGAAAGGAGACCTTTCCATAGAAAGCGCAGGACAGTGCTCATCATGATGCCTACCCATCATTGCCCACTGGGCTGAGATATTTGTTCCTTCTCTGTGGCCCTGTGATGGAGCCTCCGAGAAGGCCTGAGGCCTGCTTGTCTCCCTCTGATCATTATCTGAACTGAAGCTGTCAATGGGTCTGGGAGAGTGGCCAGGCCTTATTCTCTGTGTGATGGGAGCTGGTGTGGAGGGATTGTCAGCATCTTCTATTAGAGAAGAAATCAGGATCTAGAAGGGGCCTTAAACATCATCTCATTCAAATTTCTCATTTTTTTTTATAGATATAGGGAAATTTCCTGATATATTTAATTTTATTTAAAAATTTTTAATGATGCCTTCTGTTTTTATATCATGTGAATTAGATTCATTTCCAAAAATATAACCCTCCCTACCTCCTGTACACAGCAAACCTTCTCTTATTATTAGTAGCAGTAATAATAATAGTAACTAGAATTTATATAGCACTTTGCAAACTGCAAAGTGCCTTACATATGTTATTTCGTTCCCTTGTAACAAAGATTAATGGAGAAGAAAAAGGCCGTTCAGCAAAGCAACCAACACATGGGTGACGACTGATGGTAAATTGAATATTCCACTGTTTCTTGCTTCTTCAGTGAAAGGAAGGAGGTGCATTTTCTTAACTCTGGGTCCAAGCTTCAACCCTCCCTCCCTTCATTTTAAAGATGAGGAAACTGATGGGCAAATGACTTGCCCAAGATTATGCAGTTAGGAAGTAGTAGAGTGGAGATTCCAACCCAGCTCTCGTCCTGAAGCCATTTCTTCGTTGTTGGTGTTCAGTCATTTTTCGGTCATGCCTGGCTCTCTGTGACCCCATCTGATTCAGCTTTTTTCTTGAAAGGGATACTGGAGTGGTTTGCCGTTTCCTTCTCCAGCTCATTTGACAGATGAGGAAACTGAGGCAAACAGGGTTAAGTGACTTGCCTAGGCTCACACAGCTAGTGAGTGTCTGATGCTGGATTGGAAGCCACAAAGATGAGTCTTCCTGATTCCAGGCCTGGCACTCTATCTACTGTGCCACCTAGCTGCCCATCACACCATGATGCTGCCCTAGGGCTCTACCACTATGTTTCAAAGGAAGGGAGGGAGGGAGAGAGAGAGGGACCCCGACCTGCTTACCCGGAAGCGGACCTTCCCATGAGTGGTCATCTGCAGATACAGGCGGTGGGGGCCATTCCAATTGCCATAGACGATATCCACGTTGCCATCCCTGTTGAAGTCAGCCAGGGCTACACCACGCCCATGCTGCTGTGGGTCATCCACACCTGGAATGTTGAAGAGAGGGTGAGTAGAGATTCCTACTGGGCAGTACCCAGGACTCCTGGCTGCTAGGAGGCTCAGGAATAAGATTTTTTTTTTGTATTTCTTTATTCATTTTCTTTACTTTGTTTTACAGTATAGATTATCAGACCAATCTCTCTTTTTGGATTAGAAGGGCTCTTAGTGATTATCTACCCCAGTCCCCTTATTTCACAGGTAAGAGAACTAAGGTGCAGAGACAGTTTAGGTCTTTGTGTCTCCAGTGCCTAGCATAGCGCCTGGCACATAGTGGGTGCTTCATAAGTGTTTGTTGACTGATTCACTATTGTCAAATGCCTAGGAAGTAGCCCAGCCTGGATTTGAACTCACATCTTCTGATGTTTAAGAATTCACCCCATTAAGCCAAGGGCTGGCTTGTCCTGGCTGACTGAGGGAAGCTTGCTTAGCAGGAAGGGCCAGACCTCTTAGCAAGCCCATTACAAGCACACATTTCCTAAAGGCTTTGGTAGAGCTGAGTAGACCAGGGCTGCCATTCTCTAAAACTGACATTTTCTAGACTTTTCTGAGATTGGAGTGGATGTCATCCTACTCCTTGGAGTTTAAGGTATTTTGGGACAATGAAAGGTAGGGTGGGATAGGAAAAGAATAACGGGACCTTGGTATCTGGAGGTCATAGCTAAAGGAATCCAGGGAAGAAATTAGATGAGTCCAATGAATCCAGAAAGCAGCAGGCCATTTTCTTTGTCCCATTCAAGGACAGGCCTTGAGACTTAACTAGAGATATCTAGTTATATCTGCACATAGGGCAGATAAGGCCAGTTGGGGCAGGGTGCTAAGACTGCCTGCACCTAGGCTGGGGCTGACCACCCCACACTAGGATCGCCTACCTGCCCTCTACATGAAAGGTCAGGAAATCAATATTCCCTCTGGACCATCTGTAGCACGATTGAGGTCTGCTGTAGTCTAGAAAAATCACTGTGCTCTATGCAACAGTCTATGCCCTGGGTGCACCCCTTTCCTCCTGCCCTGCCCTTTTCTGGAACTCCCCATATTAGGATTTCCTATTTCATTTTCTGGTCTAGAAACGTGATTGGCACTTGTCAATGACTTCAAAGGTGAGAAGGCAATTGGGCTTGCCAGAGTAGGTCCCGTTTGCCTCTCCATAGAGCACCTGAATTATCCTGATCAGGAAGGTGTCCTGATGAATGGAGTGAGGCTGGATTCTGGAGTCTCAGCAAGGATTTGATGTAGTCACGCGCCAAGTTCTCTGTCAAGATCATCGTGGACTCCCTCCCTCCTTGTATTCTGAGTAGCCCATCATGCCCGAGGCTACCAGACAACATCCCTGCCTGGCCTTAGCAGCCCCACTTTGGAGGGGTCGGTCCTAGCCTCTGCATAGAGGGCTGGTGGGGCTGTCCTAGCCTGGAAGGTCATGCCCAAGAGGGGCAGCCAGTCTCAACACACTTCCCTCTTGCCCTTACTTCTCCTTTGTCCTCCTTGGGTGTCTCCAGTTCAGTAACAAGGCCTTCCCTTGAGTGTGACAAATAAAATGGACTATTACTTTCAACATTGATTGGGCTTAACTGATTCTTCCAGGAAACCCTGTTTAAAACTGAAATAGACCCCGACCATCCAGCAGCGGACCACAACAAGGTCTGAGCAGTCAAACACCTGGAAAAGCTACAGCTAATACCTCTCATAGGAAAGGAAGGAGCACGGTTTGGGGGAGACAGGGAAGCAGAGCCAGACCTGGAAGCCATCGATTTGGAAGGTAACGGGGGTCAAATTCAACAGCCTCCAGGATTAATACGCCATTAATTTTCCATTGAAACTTCCCAGCCCCAAATGCCTGTGGCCTTCTGCGTTAGCCCATTTCTCTCCCATCTACGAGGCACCTTGACAAGGAGACGGTTCCTTTTCACAGAAATAATAGGCACCAAAGCCGCATTTCACTGCAGCATCTGTTTGGGTGATGAATGCCCTCTTGACATGTCTTGTTAAATCCCACAATCATTCCAACTTTCAATTATGGGACTAACACCTCTCCTCTCTCCTCCCTGCCTGATACCCACTCCCTGTTCCAACTTCTTCATTCCCCTCAGCTTCCATCTCTTTAGCACCTTATCAGATCCTCAGGTTTTCAGGTGTTTATTTTGTTTTTTTAATGCTTTATGATTTCTCATTGATGAGAAAAATTAGCTGCCAGAGAAGAGTCAAAAATTGAACTTGGCAATGAGAAAGGTCAGCTTCTGCTGGGAGGTCAGGAAGCTCACCTGTGATCTTAGGTTTGTTCAAGATCCAAGAATAAAGGAAGGTGAGGGCAAAGGTCATGGTATCGGCTGGGTCCTAATCAGGTTGGGTCTCTGCCAAGGAGTTTCTTTTTTTTTATTATTATTAATTTATTTTGATTTATCAACAATCACTTCCATATGCTTTTCAGTTGAAAATTTTTCTCTCCCTTCCTCCCCCCCCCCCCAAGATGGTGCACAATCTGACTTAGGCTTTACATTTACATACCCATTAAACATATTTTCATATTAGTGAAGTTGTAAGTGAAAATTAAAACCAATAGGAGGAACCATCAGAAAGAGGAAACAAAACTCAACAGAAGGTAAAAATAAGTGATAGTGATTCGACTTCCATAGTTCTTTCTTTGGATGTGGACAGCATTTTCCATCCTGAGGCCTCTGGAGATGTCTTAGATCCTCGTAATGCTGAGAAGGGTTCAGTTTAACAATCTTAGTCATTGCATAAGGTGGCTGCTATTGTGTACAAAGTCCTCTTGGTTCTGCTCACTTCACTCAGCATCAGACCATATAAGTCTTTCCAGGTTTTTCTGAAGTCAACCTGTTCATCATCTCTTATAACGCAATAGTATTCCATTACATTCATATACCACAACTTGCTCAGCCATTCCCCAATTGATGGGCATCCTCTCAATTTCCAATTCTTTGCCACCACAAAAAGAGCTGCTATGAATATTTTTGTACATGTGGGTCCTTTTCCCATTTGTTTGATCTCTTTGGGATATAGCCCTAGAAGTGCTATTGCTGGATCAAAGGGTATGCACATTTTTGTAGCCCTTTGGGCATAGTTCCAAATTGTTCTCCAAAATGGTTGGATCATTTCACAACTCCACCAACAATGTATTAGTGTTCCAATTTTCCCACATCTTCTCCAACATTTATCATTTTCCTGTTTTGTCATGTTGGTCAATCTGATAGGTGTGATGTGGTACCTCAGAGTTGTTTTGATTTGCATTTCTCTAATCAATAACGATTTAGAGCATTTTTTCATATGACTATAGATGGCTTTAATTTCTTCATCTGAGAACTGTCTGTTCATATCCTTTGACCATTTATCAATTGGGGAATGGCTTATGTTCTTATAAATTTGTCTTAATTCTCCATATATTTTAGAAATGAGGCCTTTATAGAGAGACTGGTTGTAAGAATTCTTTCCCAATTTTCTACCTTCCTTCTAATCTTAGTTGCATTGGCTTTGTTTGTTCTGCCAAGGAGTTTCAAGCAGAAAGAGAGCACTGAAGTCAGTAGCTCTGTGAAAGGAGATTTTCCTGTCTTTAGGGTGCTGACTCAGGTTGCCTGCTCTAATTTCGTTATCTAAGGTCAGAGTCCTTCCTATACGACCTGTCTCCAAGAAGGAGGTGAACTTATATATCAGGTGGCTAGACTTTCCTATGCATAGGAACTCTAGAGGAAGGGGCATTATATCAGTGAACCAGGATTAGGAGAAGCAGCGGGTCATCAATCAATCAATAAGCATTTTGTATGTGCCTTCCATGTTCCAGGAACCCCAGGGATCTGAGTACCAAGAATGACTCAGTCCCTGCTTAGGAGTATAGATTCTAATGGGGGACACAAGTACATATGTAAATGAATAAGGACTAAAGTACATAAGACTAAATATAGAGAATAAATACAAATAAATGTAAAGTGGTTAAATACAAGGTGGTTTGGGAGCAGGAGGGCACTCAAAGTTGGATAGAGTCAGGAAAGTCATCATGCAGAACAGCAGAGAGAGGTTTGGAGAGGAATGGAGGGCTGGATTAGATAAGAAGGTGGGTTTGAAAGGTGTGTGGGAGGAGATAAGGGAGAAGTGATGAGGGAGGTGGTGATCAGGACCCAGAAGAACCTATAGAACTCTAAGAAGGCATTGGGGATCATGCCCATATATGAGCTTTAAGGAAGCAGGAACTTTGAAGTTCAGTGTCTTTATTGTGGGGTGCACACAGTAGGTATAAAATAAATGCTCAGTGAATTGAACTGAATCATTGAAAACTGCCTGGTGAATTGAAGATGTTTATGAGAAAGAGCTGAGCCATGGGGAACTGGTGAACATCGGCCGGGGCCCCATACCCTGATGACATGGGGCTGAATAGATTGCACTCACCAGTGCTGGCGGCCACGTCAATGAAGGTGCCATCGCCCTGGTTGTGGAAGAGGAAGTTAGGTCCATTCTCGTTATCACAGAAAATGTCGGAGGCACTGCTGCTGAGGATGGGCCCCACGCTGACTCCTCGGCCCCCTAGGAGAGAGCAGAGTGTTCAGACTGTTGAAAAGAGGGGAAGGGCCATGTTACCTACCACCTTAGCTTGGACCTGTGTCATCATTGCAATGGCCTAGAAACTGTTCTCCCTGACTTTGGCCTAGGCCTTCTGTCCAATCTATCCTCCACACAGCAGCCAAATAAATAGCAATCCCTAAAGCACAGCTCTGACTATGCCTCTCGCCTCCTCAAGAAGCTTCACAGCCTCCCTGTTGTCTCTAGGAAAGAATAGAGAACTGCACTGTTGGCCACTGTAAGCCCTTCACAATCTGGCCCCAACTGTCTTTCCATGCTGATTTCATATGAGTCCCTTTCAAGCACTCCACATTCCTGCCATAACAAGGACTGCCTTATGCTCTCCATGTAAGATGTCCCATCTTTACTCTCGTTAACTTTGTACATGAGATCCCTCATCTTGGGAAGGCTCTCTTGGAATCCCTCAATTTCCAAAAGGCTAGGATGGAGCGCCACACCTTGTCAATACAGGCATCTTCTGTTTCCACCTCCACTCTACCAGATGTTGGTGCTCTTGCCACCCAGACCCCACTCCTCCTAATCACTTTGTGTGTGTACATATATAGAACATATATGTGTGTATGTATACATATAACATATATGTGTATATTTGTGTGTGTGTGTATATATACATATATAATTGTGTATTTCTGTATGTCCACACTGTTTCCCTCCAGGAGAACACAAGCTTCCTGAGGGCAAGAATGGTTCCTCTTTTGTATTTTTCTCCTGCACCTAACACAGCAGCCTGGCTCACTTTGTACCTCTAGAAGGACTTAGCACCGTGCCCGGCCCATAATGCATGAGTGCTTCTTGATTAATCTGTGGATTGATAAATGCTCATAAGTGCTTGTTGACTCAAGGGGAGTAAAGGATACTAATATTCCATTAGAAGACCTATCCACATCATGGGGTCAGGGAGATGGAAGGAAGCTTCTAGACTCTTGACAACTCCAGCGTAGAGGCAGCATGGTTTAGAGGAAAGAGCTCTGTCTCTAGAGTCAGAGGACCTGGGTTCAAATCCTACTTCTCACCCTTGTTACCTGTGTGACCTTGGAATCTCCTTGGGCCTCAATTTCCTTATTTATAAAATGAAGGGATCAGATGAAATGGTATTTGAGGTCTCTGCTAGGTCTGTGAATTTAAAAGAACCAGCTAAGAGATTTTCTCTAACTGGTTATTTTCCCCAAGTCTCTGTGGAAAAAGCCCAAGAAGGGACATTAGGAGAAATTAATACAGGTGTGAATGTTTTCTCTCCCTGATCACCATAACACTTCTAAATCAGTGTTGAACGGGGACACTTAAACCTAAGGAGCTGGAGAATGAGAACAAAATCATTTAATCTCTCCTCTCTGGGCCTGTCTTCTCACCTATAAAAAGAAGATTATCAGATCTAGAAGGTATCTTTCCATGCCATGATTCCATGCCTTCTTTCCAAGGAAGAAGATAACCTGTGTCCTCTGGGGGAATTACTGTGGGTCTGCAGTCCTGCTCTACCCCTATAGAGCTGGGTGAATTTGGGCAGGTCATAGAATCATGAAGACATGGAACATAATTTAATCCAAGAGTGCTAAATTTAGGACACACAAACTCTTTAAAAATATTTTGATAACTATATTCAACACAATTGGGTTCCTTTGTAATCCTATCTATTTTATTCTGTACATTTAAAACATTCTTCTGAGAAAAGGACCATAGACTTCACCAGACTGCCATAGGAATCCATGACCCAAAAAAGGCTAAGAATCTCTGATTTAATCCATGTATTTCTCCACACAGGTTCAATTTAAAGCATCCCAGATGTGAAAAATGATGTAATATGGAAATAGGAAAATGACTTGGCAAACTGTTCGAATGAACACAAGCCAGGAGTGCTCCCCCCACACTGTTCCCATCAGTTCAGCAGAGTGCCTCAGGCATGATAGGGAGATGGGGAGAGAAGGGGGGGTAGACCAATCCAGAACAGGCCTGAGATACTTCATCTTGGGTTCACCTTTCAAGGGTCTGACTGCATTATAAACCAGAGCTCAGGGCATCTGCTGATACGGAGTGACAGATCACAACTCATCCCCTCCAGATGGGGTAACACCTTGTCTGAGGTCACTTTGCCAATTTGAGATGGAGACACTCCCAGTTCCAGATGTCTGGGAAGACATTCCTGGAGGAAAGAACAGTCGCATACTTTGTCTTTGAAAATAGCACTTATATAGGCTGCCCATGTGGATGAGGGTGTCAGGGCCACCTGGGACTGCAGGGTTTAATGTTCTCATAACAAGCTCTTCATTAACATTCTAGGCCCTGTGCCTTTTGATTTCTCACTGATAATCTAATTAAACCTTTAAGGATGGAACAAGCAACACACAAGTTCAAACTGCTCTCACGGAGTGCCTTTAACAGGTAAGCACCAATTCTCTAATCACAGACACTATAGTGTAGACTATGGCAAATATAAAGGTTCTAGGCTTTACTTTTCTAGACCAACAGCAAAGGATGCTGTTGCTGGTGCCAGGGCTCAGCCTCCTCCTTCAGAAATGGTAGATGCTGAGGCCTTGCCCAGGCCAAGAGGAGACAGTGCTCAGCTCAGGCCAATGCCTGGATATCAATGGTGAAACCTTAGTCTAGAGGCTAGGCCCCTCTGAAATGCTGGTACTGCCCAGGGACTAACTGCAGAGAAAATCCATTATATCCCCTGGTGTTGGCATCTTCCAATTTCCCCTCTGCCTCTGGCCCCAAGCTGTGACACATTCTCTTCATTTTCTGCAAAGCAGGTTATTTCCCTTTTGGACAAATTTCTAAATCTTTCTAATTAACTAATTGGGTTGGGTTGAAGCCTTGCACCATTTGTAACCTGTAATTACTAGAAATTGCCATGGTAACCACACTACTAATTAGTGACAATTTATTGCCATGGCAACAGGACCATAACAGAGATGTTACCCACACCGCCTCCTTGGCAAGTTCACAACTCCAGCCAGAAGCAGGTGAGCGCCACACGTGTGGTGCTGCCCTCTCAGGCATCTGCACTAGCCTGTGGAAGTGGGGCTGCAGTAGAGACTGCACAGTGAGCAATTGGGTCTCTGTGGTCCCTTTTCTGTCATCTCAGCATGAATTTCCATGTTTGCCGGTATTAATATTTGAGTTCGCTTCAAGCTAGTATCTACCAGTCTGAGACACATCCTTAAACTTTTACTTCCTGCTTAGTCAATGGCAAGGAACACTTATTCAGCCAAAATCTTTAACCAGAACTTTTCTTCCTCTTCCTTCACATCTATCTACACCCCTCCCCATCAATAGTCACATGCCCTAGGGTTTAATAAGTCCATGGATGACAGCTCCATAGTGAATTATTAAAGGAATATTGGTCTATTGGTGGGGGGAGGGTCATATCTCTAATTTTTGAGCACTACTGGCCTTCTCACTTATAAAATGAGAGGGTGGAACTAGAGTAAGGGTTCTTAACCTTTTTAGTGTCATGGACCCTTCTGGCAGTCTGGGGAAGCTCATGGACCTCTTCTCCGAATTATCTTTTTAAATGCATAAAATAAAATATATAAGACTACAAAGTAAAATACAGTTATAAGAATTTTTTTTTAAGTTCACTGGTTCCAGGATAAGAATTGCTGGAGATGATCTCAAAAACCCTTTCTAGTTTTAATATTCTATGTTCTAAGGCTCTTCCCAGCTCTTGTTAGGGCTTCTTGCTAGAAAACATTCTTGTTTTCTAGGAGTCATCAGACAACTGTCATGATCTCCCATAAAAGATTCCATTATCATTTTTGTCAGCCCTCTTAGACAAATGAATTCTGTACATCTATGGCCTGTTTGCCTCAGTTTCCGCATCTGTAAAATGAGCTGGAGAAGGAGATGGCAAACCACTCTGGTATATTTGCCAAGAAAACCCCAAATGGGGTCAAGAAGAGTTGGACAGGACTGAAATGTCTCAACAATAACATGGCCTGTTGTATAAAGTAATGCTTTTTGTATTCATCCTAAAGCTGCTTCGTTCAAGCTTCAAAAGGAGCCTATTCTGGGATGAGAAGCTCTGAAGCATCCCTGCCTGGACCATGTCTGCTGGGGTGTGGCTTGGCAGTATATAAATAGCATTGTGATATTCCCAGGAATTTGAGGTTTTGCTGCTCATTCAACCCCACACCACACTGGGGGAGGGGTTCATTCCACATCAGGAATACTTTGCTCAGTTCTGTGGGATCCATTGTAAGAGCGATGTCAACACAGAGAATTTTGTTGAGAGGAAGGCAGGCAGGATGGGGAAAGTTCTTGAAAATGTGCCACATGAGAATTGGATAAAGGAACAGGAGATATTTAGATGAGAAGAGAAGATGAGACTTGGTAGTGCAGGGGGAAGGGGAAATGACACCTGTCTTCAGTTTCCCTATCTGGAAAATGAGGGAATTAGATTAAATGATCTCTAAGACCCCTTCCAACTCTAAATGAATGATCCTGTGGAATATCTGAAGGGCTGACTCCAAATGATACAAGAAGGATTAGGCTTATTTGTGTGGGTCTAAAAGGAAAGGCAGTGTGATGTCATGGAAAGAGCCCTGAATTTGAAATACAAAAAGGCCACTGTCCACTGTCAGTTGTGTGCTGTATGACTATGAATGGGCACTTAAGAACCCTGTGGGACTTTGACTCCTTTATAAAATGAAGGGACTGCGGAGCATAGATTTAGAGCTACAAGGGGCCTCAGAGGCTAATGAGTCCACGTTCATCATTTTACATATGAGGAAACTGAGGCACAGAGGTGTTAAGTGACTTGCCTGAATGGGGTATAGGATTCAAACTCAGGCCTTCCTGACTCCATATCCAGCACTCTATCCACTCTGTGGACAAAAGGATGTCGAGGGTTCCTTCTGTCTAACACTCTCTGCTCTAGTCTGTAAAATTAGGGCTGACTGGGTGGAAATTATAGGAAGACAAGAGGTTGGCTCAATATAAGGAAA